GAGTAACGAGCGTATTCGACGCCTTGTTTATGGCATAGGAAAAGGAACTGAACAGCTCAGCACCGTCATTTCAGGCATCAGGCTCCGATGGCTCGGCCACGTGTTACGCATGCCTGCCCACCGACTTCCGCGACGTACCTTGTTTGCGCGCCGGGGGTGTGGATGGAAGAGGAGGGGGTGGCCAAACGATGACTTGGTCCAGAGGAATGAAGGCCCTCACTTCTGAGCTGGCCTCGGTTGGAGCCTCTCGGCTCCCTGGTTGGGGTCCGAAAGACGATGAATATGTTAGGCTGGATATAATTGCTGACATGGCTAGGAGCAGACCTCAATGGCGTTAGTGCTTTGAGTTTCTTTGTCCCACCCCCATCCCTCTTAGTCTTCCCCTCCAACCACGATCTCGTTATTTAGCCTTATATTATTTTGTCCAGTAATCTTTTTTGGTGTACAGCAGCCGGCTGGTAGCTTACCAGGACGATGCCCATCCCTTACCGGTAGCTCAGCCAGCTTGCATCTGTTGCTTTTTTTCTCTCCTTTTTTTTCTATGTATTGCGGCACAGTAGATGAGGTGTTCGCCACCTCCAGCTAACGTGTAGTATGATGTACCATGATATCGACCATTAGTTCTTCGTTGGTGAATATCCGATCCAGTATGGACGGATAGTCCTTTTCTCGGAATCGGGTGGGAGTGTTGATGTGACCTACAGCGGGTAACTGGAGACAAACTCTTGTAGACCGGCCTTGAACTGTTCTGCAGGAGATGCTTAGGACTCCAGATCGTGAATATTGGAATCGCCAATAATGAGAATGTGACTGTAAGTTCTGTTTATCACCCTGCTTATCGCACATGCCACATAGAAGTCCATGTCTGGTGTGGAAGAAGGATGGCGGTAAATGACCGCCACTAAGCAAGTATCGTCCCTTTTTAAACGTAGACGGCACCACATTGAATCTTGTACCGTGCTGACCAGATCCTCTATGAGCTCACAGTAGAGATCATTGCGGAAGTACAGAGCCATCCCTCCATCTTTTCTGAGTCAGTCGTGCCGAATAACGGACACACATGGCAGTTCGATCTCCATGTCTCTTATGTCAGGGCATAACCATGTCTTCGTTCTAGCGATGATGTCGCAGACTTTTGATCCTTGACGCAGTCGCATCTCAGAAAGTGTATTCAGTAAGCCTTGAGCATTGGTGTACATACAGGATAGCTCCACGGATGTCAAAAGCTGTTGACTAGGAGCACATGAATGATGTGGATTTCTGCCGACAGTTGAGAGGCCGGCACCTAATCGTTTGTTGGGTAAATTGCCAAATCACGATAAGAATGCAATCTGTTTTTGGTCACACTTACACTTGCGGTATGTAGTCCTTCGGTAGCCTACTCGGTAGCTACAAGTCTTAGCGCACCGGTCTGAATCGCTGTTGTAGTTATACTGTGTCGCGGTTGGTGTCGTTTCCGCGAGAACAGCGAGTGGCTGCGGCTGTCTAACTGCTGTCTTCAGTCGTAGTTCCGAAGGAACTGTGTTGCATAGTAACTGCCAGCTGCAGATTAAGTGCACGGCCATCTGTTGTGATTGCACCGTTAGTTTCAGTATCATCGGGCTACTGCCTCTGTGGGTTGTCGACATGGGTAACCGTGTAATCGATTGAAGTATGACATCGGCCACACAGAGAGCTCCAGGGATGTAACGCCATTCTTTCAGGTCACGAGCATGAGCTTCCTGGTCGCTGGTTGTCGGTATCTCGGGTACGCCATGAACGAAAATAATTCTTTTGCTACGCTCCGTGTGGTGGTCGTTCGAATTATGTTTGTCCAGCTGGCGTTCGCCCCATGGAACATCCGGAAATATGCATATTCCACTGTCTTCAGTCCGCAGGCAGTATGCCGACAAAAGCACCGTCTCGACATCATCTATTGATCCCCATGATAGTTGCATTAGCCGGGACTCCCCATAATGATTCGAGGTTGGATGTCTAGTGATGCGCATTAGATTAGTCAGACTGGCTTGAACTCCAAAATTATCATAAGGGAAATTCCATTGCTTTAAATCATCTAGCTGTTTACCCATTAAGGAGTTTGCCTTGGACTCAGGAACGTTGGTGCATCTAAGTGTCAAGGTCCCATAGTTCCGCCTGGTCTCCGGTGATGTGGAAAGCAGTTATCGAGGAATTTAGTGCCGCCTCTGCAGGTTGAACCTAGTCCTTCTTCCGTTTTGTGGCTGTACTGGGTGACACCAATGCGGTTGCACTTCGTTTAAACCAAGCAGCAACGGTTGCATAGGTGGATGGGTCTTTAGAGTGTTTCGGTTTATGTCGGTCAATCGGAAGGGTGGATGTTAAGGATGTCGCATCAGACGATACGTTGGATAAGAGGAGGTGGGCGGCGACTAGATTGTCGTACTTTTGTGTTGACGCTAGTACGCATTTTAATATTGTGAGGGTCGTGCGCTTCGGACAGAACCAAAGTGAACCCGGCGTGTTGTATTCCTTCAGGTCGGTTCTACAGACTTTGACGCATTTGAAATGGTATCGGTCTTGGCAAGTTGTAGAAGTCAACCCTCTTTTTACTACCTTAGCACAAGTTTGATTAGCACAAAACGTTTCGTGTTACCGGTGTGGTGGTCATGATGGCCAATTACGGTAGAATAAATCCAAGATGGCGGACACAGACGGCAGTTGGGCCAATCGATGAGAACTTCGAAATTAGCAAGAGAACAACCACCAAATTTGTACAGATTGAAGAATACACAAAAATAAATATATTGGTGCCTAAGTCACATAGAAAAATCACGTATAACAGAGAAATTTCGGGGAAAAAGTGGGATCCAGCACGGTAATCCAAATATCCATGACGTTCGTGGGTACATCTAAACCATGCCCGCCCACAGCAATATCCAAAAACGAGGCGTACAGAGAGTTCGCAGCACTGGAACTGTCCACCACTTTTATCCACTGCTTTATGTATGATTGGGTCTACGTGTGAAGTATCCGGTTCATAACATACGAAAACATTTACCTTTTAGACAACAATTTGACCGAAATACCTGTGGTGCCAAAATTAACTTTGGTTTCTGTATGAACAGCCTTTGCTCGTTATGTCAGCCGTGTTACGTACAAGGTAGTTGAGCTGATATGGGTGGAGAATGATTTACGTTTTATCATTATAGGCGAATGGATTCTGCAACCAGCACTCACTGTGTTTCAGAAGGTTAAACCAAGGGTAAGAAGATTAGCGGATTGGTTTGAACCCCTCGCATGGACGAAGCAACACAACCCACTGATGTGCCCTGAAGAAATTGTCCAATGGAGTGTAATACATATGCAGCCGTTTAAATCGTGCAACCTTGGTCAGTTCAGTGCATGGAAAAGTAGACAACAGCCTTGGAATGGGTTCGGTGTTCCTCCACTCCACCCAGACACCCCATAACCGGTTTCGTCCTCGTTTGGACTCATGAGATGGACATAGGCTGAGCAAGGGTGGAACTCGGAGCTTAGTGGTTAAAAGCTGACGCCTTGATCACTACGGCTCTAAGATCCGTGAGCAACGCTCGGCACAATGGTAAGGAATCCAAAGCCTTTTAAGGTATCCATGTTAACAAAGCGTGAAAAAGAAGCACCTCAAAGTGAGACAAAAAGTTCTGATGAAGCGTAGGTAACCCTGCATGTATATCGATGCTTGGTGCAAGTGAAGCAATCACTCCGGTGGAGACTCACTATTTGGAGTGGTGTATATAACGAGCTACATCACTGGAGATGATACTCGTGACCACAGAATTGTACCCGCCTACAACTTGTTCTGAGCGCAATGGAGTCGACTTTTCCAGACCCAAACAGGTGAGTAGACAGAACCCTGCCAGATTGCAGGCTAAACATATGTTTGTTGCACCAGGCTGGTGTCTCGGGAAAACGACGGCACGTGCTAAACGAAGTTGACACGTACAGGTATCTCTTGGTGCAAAGACCGATAGTGCGAAGTTCGGTTCACATCGGCACCGAAAGTCAATTTTCATAAAACGTGCCTCGGGCTTTCTAGCAGTAAATGCAGACCGTTGCAAAAAGAGTGAGAGAAGTAACAAAAATTTTGTGTTGAACTCATCTCACTGTTATCACGCTTATCATTTGGGATGCGCAACCCTCAGCCAGTTTAGATAAAATAAATACAAAGACCGAATCAAACTTTTCATCGTATGTGTAATGGAGCTGGTGTTGTATAAAGGCAGGGAGCCCAGGTTAGGTGCAGAGTTGAGTACAACGACAGCGTTGAGAAGGTGGATGGATAATTGTGAGTCGGTTTTCCGGTCATGCAACTGTATGGCCGGAAAACCGACCCACAATTCTCTGTGCGCCTACGCGTTGCATCCGTCGTGGGTGCACAGCTCCGCACCGGACCTAACCGGACTCACTGTCAATACGTATGAACACGCGATAAGTCACTCACGTTTTAGGTACATTATTATTTTAACAATAGTGTCGTTTGTATTAGCGTATAACACCTACGTTAGCAACTGTTCTCGAATTAAGTGGTATTAACCTTAGTGAACCGACGTGAGACATTACTTAGTAGTACCACTTATTTCACCTAATTCGAAATTAGCTACAAAATCAAGTGTTAGATACTAATACTGGTCATTAGGACATGAATGAACTAGAGGAGCTAGTCACATTGCCACCAAACATTGCTGCTGTCCTACGTGATGCACAAGTCTAGCCAGTAATTCAAGCTATGGGTTCCGTTAGACTGTGCTCGCATCCTGGTAACCACGCGCAGGCGCATGGAATAAATCTTGGACGCATATGCTATGCCTCGCTGCTGTAAAAAAGCAAGTGGGTCTGTGGCTCCAGCTGGATGCGTAGCACGAAGGCATCACCACCGTTACCTGACTGAGGTAGCACTTCCACACTATACGCATAGCGCCTTCCCTTAGATAAAAACATTCGCGTTTCTAGAGAACCTTCCGGAGTAACAAATTATAGTTGCTTTTTCTTCAACCTACACACAGATGAAGCCGTTGTGTCGCGTCTGCACCACAGCATCATTGCAGAAACAAACGCTGAGGCGGATAGCGTGGAACTTTGGCAAACGGTGTGGTACAGTGAATTTCTCCCGGTCGCAAGAGAGCTACTTTACCGCATAGCACACACATGAGAAGCAGAAAGCAAGCGAAGTTTGAGGCTGAAGACATACGGACGAAAAGCAATATGGCACAGATCCTTTTCTTACCGGATGTAAAAATCGTCGTCACTATATAGTTGTGACAAGAATTTATCGTTGCCTGATTTCGATATGATGGAATTGAGAAGTGCCGGAGAAACAAAACATGTCAGCTTAAATGAATATTGTCGCTTTACTTTCAGTAGACTACCCAAATGCTTGAGACAAGTGCTGTTACATTCTACAAACTTCTCAAATGTGTCGAAACATATCTTTGTGAGTCGGTGAGTACAGGCTGGCCCTGTCGAGAGAGTAAAAGGAGTGAGTAAGAAAAGCAAAAAACCCTCTTACTTCAACACCTAGCTCAGATTGAGTAAAAATGTACTTGTTCCACATCAGCTGACTAATTACGCTAGCCACGAAATGTAAAGATACTCACACAAACAGAACAGCAGTCTAAAGACATTGAATTTTTTGTGCACCTGCGTTGTTAAATGATGTTCTCATCAACCTCTCACAGACGGAATTTCAACGAAAGTTAAGGGAGAAGCAAACGAGTATCAGTCGCTGTTTGTGGATCTTGTCAGATGTGCATCAGGTGGGAGGCACAAACATACCCATTAATGAAATAGGAAGAGAGAGAGAGAGAGGTATACAGATACCTAATAAGGAATTGTACCATTACAGCGGAACGATAGAAATAGGAAGCTAACAATGCTATCCTTAAATAAATTTTCTAAATTTCACCTTAGAGAGGGTTTGTTTAAAAGAAAATCCCTTGACCAAAACGAAACTGTACACAACCAAGCTTATGGCGGATGGCCAGTGGTGAGCAGTTGTTCCCCAGTGATGGGACAGTGCATTGCTGTGTGAATACCTTGAAAACCAATGCAGATAACCGGTGACGTAGGATGCTCGAGAATATCTGGTTAAGATGTCCGTTGAGGATGTTCAGAAAATAACATCGTCGCATATCCTCTAAAGTTGCATCGAGGTACAATTATCCTCAACTATTTCCAAGGTGTACTTTACTACTCTGGTTTGCTGGTGTAAGCTAGTCTCCCATACATTATGAATTTTGGAGAGTAAACTGCTCCACAACGGATGCGACAATTAGACTGATCGTCGATTTTAGCTAATGAGATCCGGCATTTTGCAGCGCACTGTTAGACGGCTTCGTAGACATGTCTACGTCTCACAGGACCAGAACTGAGACAGAGAGTGACCGTGTAAGCTGATGACTTGAGTTCGAGTGCCAACCAGGTTACTGAAGCGTACTGCCAATGGTATCTAACGCGTGTGACCATGGATAAAGGGTAAAAACGGTCATAGAGATCAGTTTACTGAAGCAAGATTACTGCAAATTCGGCGAAAAGTCAAACACTCAGTTTTTGAAGTTTAACGCTAGACTTGCAGAAAAGAATACAGAGAGCTAAATATAACCCAACTCATTTACTAGTGATAAGCGATTTAAATGCAAACAAAGTGGAAATAGAATTGAAAAACTCATTGAGTGATCAAAAACATGTGTAAGCGAACATATGTTTTCGGTAATTCATCATCAGACTTTTACAAATGCATGAAAATCAAAATTTTGTATACAGACCAAACGGGTCGTCAGTCAGCCAAATTGATTCTAGTGCGCTATGACAAACAGGTCAGGTTCCAATTGTAGTCGCACGCTCGCACAGGTCAACTGCAATCCGTCCTGGCCAAGGTAGACTCAACGAGTGAGTGAAGCTTTTCCGTGCACAGCGCTGGTTCGTACAACCGAATGCTGAAAGCTTCTGCGGCGTCTAATATCCGCTTACGGAAATAATTTGATTGTTTTCTGGGGCGTGATAGATTACTTTGAACGAATCAGCAGACTTGGTGGCGTGACTCGTATCCGCAAGATGCGCGGCGATGGCAGAGTTGGCGGCCTTTTGGCCTCCATTTCCGAGCCAGGCCGGATGGTGTTCTCTCACCCATTCGGATAAGCGTCTTGTCGTACGACCAACGTGACCTGCTCCACAGGAACAGGTGAAGGAGTAAACACACACTGATTTGGAAATAGTCTAGAGCAGTCGAAGTGCACTTTTAAAAGGTTTCAACGGAAATAGCAAGGATACAACAACAGCACTAGCACAGACCTGTTATGTCATGCATACACTAAATGCGTTTGCATTTGAGAAATGCTTGGTGCTAGATGGTCTGTGTATGATTTCCTATGCCACTAAGCGTTACAGATATACGAGTATGGCATATATGAGATGTCAGCGACGATAGTTACATGCTAGAAGTAGGTCAAAGCAGTAGGACTGTTTCATAGGACACATAGTGTTAAAATGACAGTTATTAGCTCCTACCCGTACACAATCGCCAGCATGACGAACGAGAGACACGTATATTCACAATGTCTGCTGCAAATGATACAAAGTAAGAAACGGGACAGAATGAGTGAGTTGGCCTAGACAGGCGAGTCGCATTCGCGTACTCCCAAAATCCAATATGTGCGGAGAAATAGTTCAGTAGTGTATAATGGGATAGAAATCAGTAGCTTTACAAGATCCACAGGATCGCTAATGCAGAAGATTAAAATCAAAACGTTCCAAGGTAAGTCGTGAGTCATCAGTAGTCTACATATTGCACTTTACCATACTGTTGTGCAGCATTTGTCACTCAGATTAAAGTCTAGTCGATTTTGAAGGTAGGATGCTTGGTGTTATCACCGCATGTGCTTGTAATGCATTCCAGTGCGAACAGATTCTAAGTGAGTAAAATAACTTTCTACAATTCAAACGGGAGTTTTGCGTCATTCACTTCGAGTGGTGACCTCGGTATTGTTTGTAAGAGGCTAGGATCGGAGGTGATTTACCTGGATGACCGTTTTCTGTCAGTATCCGGTAAGTGAGAATGATGATGGCGCAGTTCGTAATTGAAACCGGATAGTCCGTATGTTGCCTTGGTAGCTCTTCTTTGGCGCTGCTCCAAGAGACGAATATTTCGTTTTAACCATGGACACGAAGCCTGAATTGCATACTCAACGTGGGGACAAATATACGAGTTGATCAGCTTGGGTGCTAACCACTGCTCGAATGCACTAAGTGCGCGCCTCAAAAGCATTAAGTTTAAGTTTGCCACATTCCTGCTTTCGAATATTGGAGCGAATAGTCCAAACTTTCTCGGAAGATGATACTCAAGTCTCTTTCACTAGTCAAGTGTTGTTGAAACTGTTGCACAGCGTCGGCAGGTGGCACTTTGCAGGGTTCAGTGGGAACTGATTTAATTCTGTCCACTCGTAGTTGTTGTCTTTTCTTCTCTTTTGTATTGCGGCTGAGGTGTCTTCCACCTGCAGCTAACGTGTATAATGAATGAAGGAATGACTCGTTAATCAGGTCCAGATCGTTCTGGAGATAGGCACAATCGGATGTTGAGCGAATAGCTCTCCATATCCCAGGATCATCGTCAAATATTTGTGTCAGAGATTACATATTTCTGGGGGATAATTGCTATAGACTAAAAGCAGTAGCGGGTCGAAGACGGATGTCTGCGGCACACCATTGGAGATGCACAGGATTTCCTAGTAAGTGTAGGCGATTCTTCCCTTGATTATTCTGTTGTGTAGGCAATCTTTCAACGAGATGAGTAGGGGACCGTTAATACCGTAGGGGCCAAACACTGAACCTTGGTGGGGATCCGCTAGAAGCTATTCGAAAATGGGACTAACTGAGCAGCTGTATCAGCGCCCGTGGGATGGAAGAGCAGATCACTGACCGTTTAGTAAAAGCTCGAGGGGCTTCCGTTAATCTTCGCCACCTGTGGCGGCAGTAGGACATCACTTTCGTCCTGAAAAGTAGAGTATACAATGCAGTCATCCGTACAATGCTACGTACTCAGAACATCTGGCTTCGTCAGTTGGCAAGTATTAATGCGTTCACAGCGCCGTTGCAGGCGTCCACCAAAACGCAGTCGCAGGTTGGCGCACAAAAGTGCATTGTTGGAGTCCACGCTTGTGTACCAAATCCAGCCACGGTTCCTATATACATTCTCTTAACACTAGAACGCCCGGAGCGGTCATTTTGACCGCACAGCGTTTTTAAATGTGCATATTTTCTACATTTATGGACACTTATCAAAGATATTTCGTGACTTTTAATATTTTTGGACGTTCTTCATTACTGTGAATTTTCGTTTTCATATCTGTTACAGTTTTCGAGAAAAGAGGTAGCAGTGTTCATACTACCTAGAAAGCCCGTTAGCGGTCAAAATGACCGCTTCTCTCTAATCTGGTTCCTCTTTTTATTTTTAGCCACCACTATCATTTCTGACAGTTATATACTATAGCAGTCAAAACGGAAGTGAAAACTAGCCGAATCACGATTTTACTGGGATATTGTGCGGTCAGTCAGATAAGTTCCAGCGACATTTTTGTACACAATGGCACTTCTGAGGAAAACAGCCTTTGAGGTTTTACGAGAACTTACAACCATCGATGACGAGTCTGGAGACGAGAACGATTATGATGTTGATGAGGACTCCATCTTCCATGAGTCAGCAGAAGATCACAGCATGTCTGATAGTCAAACGTCTGATGATTACACTCCATATGGGGACCCTAGAGAGAGTGTATCAACCGATTCGGTATCTGCCGGTGAGCTTCACGTACCGAAAGATGGTAGCACGTGGATCGCAGTGGAGTTCGAAACATCTACTGTTGGTAGGATTCCATCACAGAATGTGTTTAATTCTAGACCAGGACCAACTCCCTATGTTAAGAAATGTGTGAAATTTGGTGAGCTGTCGAGCACTTTTGACATCATAATCATGCCCCAGATGCTGAAACTTATTCAAGTATGTACTGAAGCTGAGGCCAAGAGAGTTTTTGGTGTCAGTTATCAGTGGAGCGTAAGTCTTCCAGAGCTACGTGCCTTTATTGGTCTACTTTACATCAGAGGCTTCATGGGTCTGAAGAACATGCCGTTGAATATGATGTGGTGCGATAGATATGGACT